GAAGCCCCCCCCGGTCTTAGCCGTAGCGCCAGAATCCGCCGCCGTTGCCCAGCTCGCAGCCCAGGCTCAGCTGCAGGGTGTGGGGCCCTGGGGAGCCCTCCCCTGGCCCGCCGGCCCCAGACCCTGGGGTCACTTGTCAGGTAGAAAGGACATTTGGGGTGGGGCTGCAGGGCTCGGGAGTTCAGGGGTCGGGATGGCAGAGAGGGGGTGGGGACGGGGCACTTGAGTACCGGGGACGCGGAAATACGCGGACATCAGTCAAATGCCTGGGTTCTGGGTTCTCGAGTGGGAGGGGTGCGGGGCGAGGAGGTGCATGAGACCTGCGGGGACTCGGGGATAAAAGGGCCCACCGCGGGGCCCAGGGAGAGGGGGTGGGCTGCCTGGGCAGGCTCACCGCTGAGCTCGTTGTAGCCCTCTATGGTCTTCAGACCCCAAACTAAGTCCCGGGCGTGACCCTCCCAGAACGCGGCCTCCCTATTGGCCAGTGTTGGGGCCAGTTGAGGGTCCGTGACCCCTGGGCCCCTGTGCTTGGCGCCGTCGCTCCTGCTGTCATAGGCGATGAAGGCGCGGCCATCCAGGTAGCCCAATGCTGTGACCTCGGGCTGCCCGGGGCTGGGCTGGGAAATGGCGGTGAGGTCATAGCGCAGAGAGTGGGACCCTGCAACACCGGAGCCGGGCCCTTGCCCTTGCTGCTTCTTTCTCCAGGATCCCAGAAGCCCTCCCTTCACACCTACACACACACACACACACACACACACACACACATACACACAGAGTCTGAAGGGACCCTTCCGTTGTTCTGGCTTCCCTGGCTCCCTCCTCCTTCCTGGCGCCCTCCTCTCTTTCTCCTCCTGTGTCCTTTTTCCCCTCCCTGCTGTTGAGCCCCCTACCCTCCTGGATCTAAGGCCCGGGGGCTGCCCTCCCAGAGCAGGGCAGGAGACTCACAGGGCTGTGTCATGGGATGAGCAGCGGCCTCCCCCAGAAGCAGCAGCAGGAACAAGGGGGGGCACGCACGGGTGCACAGCCCCATCCTGGAGGCTGAGGCGCTGGGTCTTGGTGTACCCAAAAGTCAGAAATCAGGCCTGCCCCAGGCGGAGCCCCTGCTGTGTAGGCCTGGTGACTTTGCTCTGCCTGGGGCCAAAGTCCAGAGTCACCTAGTGGTGAGAAGAAACATCAATATCACTGTGGATTTTGGAAGGCCCAAGGGACCCAGCCTGACCTGTGCCCGGAGGCCTCCTGTGTGTGTGTATGTGTGCGCGTGTGTGCAGCAGCTGGAGGAGATCCTGACCGAGGAGCAAACATGGAGCTTCTGTCTCTGTCCCAGCTCTGTGACTGCACGGAGACACCCACACGAGGCTCTGAGACGGGCTCAGCTGCTCTGGAGAGGACGGGGCTGTGGCCCAGCAGGGCAGAGTGGCGGGCAGACCAGGGGCTGTGCGAGCATGTGTGGGTGAGGAGTCCTCCGGAGCAACCCTGCCCCCACAGGCGTCAGGCTAGCTGTGCTTGTCTTGAACAGTGAGAGCAGCAGGGGGTCCCGAGGGAGAAGCTGTGGGGCTGCCCTCAGAGGGGATCTGTAATGTGTCGACACATCTATAATGTGTTAAGAGGGCAGTAATGGGACCAGGGCAGTAATGGGACCAGCAGACAGCATAATGGTTGTGTCATAAGACTTCCACATAGTTGACTGCGGCTTTGGACCCCCAGTCTCTGTCTTTGTATTTCTTTGTTTGTTTTGGGAGAGGTTTCTTCTATAGGGCGCATGCTTGCTTGCGCGTGTGCTGGTACACTTTAGGAGAGCAATCTCAGCCTGTGCAGCCTGCAGCTTGTGGGTTGATAAGCTGAAGCATGATAAGCATCCATGCCCACAAGCTGCAGGTCGATTCCCTACTGACTTTCCTCATGTCCTGTTGGAAGAGGAAGATGCACTGAAAATGTCCAAATGGCTTTGGACCCTCAGTTCCTCTGTCTTTGTATTTGTTTGTTTGTTTGTTTTGGGAGAGGTTTTTGCTATAGGGCGCATGTGCTTGCCAGAAAGACAGAGAGAGACAGAGAGACAGAAAGCTGGGTCTGAGACTGGGAAGATGGAGTTTACTGATGTTCACTTTTTTTTTTTTTTTTTGGAAGGTTTTTCTCTAGGGGGTGCATGCGCTTGCCAGAGAGACAGAGAGAGACAGAGAGACAGAAAGCGAGAAATCAGCCCTCCCACCCCCACCCCTGAGGGATGGCCATGCCACAATCTCTTCCCCTCCATTCTCCTCTAGGGATCTTGGGCACACACGTACACGTGCCTGGTGTGAGGTTAAGCCACCAGGTCCGGGACTTGAATCATGGCCTACTACATGGGAGTCCAGTGACATAGCCATTACGCCATCTGCTGGTCCCTGATGTTTGCTTTTGAGGGTTATATTAGACATCTTGGGCTGTCATAACAGAACACCACAGACAGGATGGCTTACACAACAGAAATTTGTTTCTTACATTCTGGAAACCGGCAGTCCAAGATCAAGATGGCCGCAGATTGGGTTCCTGGGGAAGGCCCTCTTCCTGCCTTGTAGACAGCTGCATTCTCACTGTATCCTGAGAAAGAAAATAAAATGGCAAGGCATTGTAGGCCCAACCAGCGGTGGGCCTGCAGCGTGATAGACTGCAGTGCAGGAAGCCACGTGTTGTATTGTGGCTCAGACTCCCGGGTCAACATGGAAATACGCTGAGCACGTGTGTGGCTGTCCAAGGTCCTGAGGAGCTTAAAGGCTGGGGAAAAGGGAATGGAAAGGGAATTGTGTCATGGTCACGATGAGACTGTTGAGCGAGCTTTCTCTATCTTTCCCCTGTCCCACGTACACCACATGATACCATAACACTTTTTTTAAAAGAATGATTTTTATTTAACTTTATTTTAATTTAACCAGAGAGGGAGAGGGAGAGAGAGAGAGAAAGCTACCAGTTTTGGGACTTGAACCACAGTCAACCATGTGGGAGTCCAGCACCTTAAGCACCATGCCATCTGCTGCCCCCCCTCTGTTTCACTCTTATAAACACACCAGAGCTCACTCATAGGAGCCCCACTCTAAAGACCTTGTCACATCCAAAGGCGCCATCCTGGGACACTATGAAGGGGTTAAGGTTTTACTTCATACATTTATAATGAAGCCAAATCTCAACACATGAATTTTGGGGCCAGGGGCTTCCAAACTAGCAGAGCTTGGTTCGCTCCTGGGAGTGACCACACTTACAGACTCGCCTCTAACTGAGCGAGCAAGGGGGGTGTGCTTTGTGACTCTGGTCTAGGACTTAAAGCACATGGCGGCTTCTGCCTTACTGTGTGTCTCTCCGGATCAGCTACTCTGGAGAGGCCAGCTGCAGTGCCATGGGCAGTCCTGATGGAAAAGTCCATGTGGCTAGGAACCGAGGGGTTCGGGGGTCACCTAAAAGGATCTGAGGCCTCTTCCACCAGCCATGCGAGTGAATCACGCCTTCCTGGGAATGCCCAGCCCCTGTCTAGCCCCCAGATGATGCAGGCCTGGATGAAGACTTGACTGCAGCCTCATGAGAGGCTCTGAGCCAGAAGCGCTCAGGTGGTAACGTCTCCTGATCCTGATCAGGGAAACTGCGGGGAGCGGCCGAATCTGAGCTGAATAATGGCGGCCCTTAAAGACAAGCAGAGGACAGACCCACTCGCCTGGGCAGATGCTGCACAGCCAACGGAGGTTAAAGGAAAGTATTCTTCAGCCAGAGAAGGCCAGGTGGGCTTGTTTAGAACCACGGGCGGGGGGGGGGGGGGGGAAGGAACACCCGA